GCATCTGCCTTTGCCATTAAGGCCCTTCCCCATTTAGCCTCATCCTATCTATCGGATCTACTAACTTGTCCACATGTTGACCTCCATCTCTTCCCTGCCAGTGATCGCAGCCTCAATCACCCACTGGTCTGATTCTCTCTCAAGCACCTCTGTGCATTTAGTTCCCTACCTCTCACCATGTAGGGGAAGGTTTATAAACCCCACTCCTTATACCCCTCCCCCATTCTCTTTTTAAAAACCCCTCCTCAAAATCTACTTCTGCTGGGACGCCTACGCATCACTCCAATCTGGCACTGGTTAGGCAAATGATGAACCACGACTTCTGCTTTTCTACTAACCTCTGTTGTTGCACTGTTTCCCCATCCTGACAACCCACACCCACCACATTTGTCTGTTTTGTTCACTGGTTGTGTCCACCTGACAGGTAGATAGTGAGCTCTCTGAGATGGGGACTGTCTCTGACATTTATCCACACGGCACCTAGCACAATAGGGCCCTGATCCTCGGATAAGGTTCCTAGGTGCTACTGTAGTACAAATATATGAATAATAATAAGTTTTGAAGCTCTTTCCATGAAATCCTGGCACAGTTGTGTGAATTAGGAATCCCACGATAGCCTTTGCTTGGCATTTCCTTGCTTTCATGGCATTACGGCTGATCATTTTTAATTGTTGCTTTGTCATTAATTTAGCATTTACCGTCTATTTTTAGTAACTGACCCACCATTTCCAGAGTGGAATACCACAGGAATCTTTCAAAGTGGCAGTGGTTAGTAAGCTGTAATAAGCAATACAAAGCAGCTAAGTTTGATTGCCAACTGCTGACAAAGTACAGTAACAGACCCCTCTAGCAGAATGAGCTCCCAGAGTGTTCCAGTTTCATATATTCCACCAGAATTAGCACAGCAAGTTGGGTAGTGGAACAGCAGCAGAGCAGTTTGAGTACAGAAATATAGATATCAGAGATGGAAAAGACCGATGACTGTCATTTACTACACTCCCCTGCCAATGCAGAAATGTTCCTGGCAGTGAATTGTTTGCACTTTGCATTATACCGTCTGGTTTTTCGTGTTTGCTATGCATTAAGGAGATTTCAATATAGCAGTGACATGCACTGACTCTAGACCCCTCACTAGACCAGCACAAGATCTAATTAAGTACAGCAATTACAGCCCTGTAATCATTTCTGCATCTTACATGTTTTAGCTATCTAATAATGCAGGCTGTAACAATAACTACAGATCCATGACGAGCTGGGCAAAACAGGGGGAAATATTTTCTTGGCTATATCGGATACGATGAATCCTGCCAAAATGAATCCTCCTCTCCAGATTCTGCAGCAGGGCAGGAGAGCAGAACCAGCTCCTAGGAATAGCTCCTTCTTCATCAAGGAGTAGCAATGGAAGTACTGACAGCCAGACAGGTAGGGGTGGGTGGGTGTGTGTGCGTACACACACACAGATGGGGCTTTACCATTTAAACTAGAGACACTTGCTGATTGCCGATTGGTGTGCCTCTTTCCCCTACATTCTATCTGTTTTACATCTCTTTAGGCTGTAATATCTTCAGGGCATGGATCTTGTTTTCTTATGTGATGTAGAGATCCTAGCACAAGGATCTGATTGGGGGGCATTACCACAATATAAATAAACAGCAACAACAACAAATCAACATCAGCCTCTGTATGAACAAACTGTGCCCCTAGCTTCTGGCCTCAAAACATGTCCCCAGTCCCTGATTATTTGCTAATTCTAGTCAAAATTAGCCAGATATTTGCCTGCAGCAGCTCTCTACGTCTTCTAGGATGGAATGTGACATGTGATCAGGAAGCCATGCTCCTGATGTTATGCCTCCTGCTCTGCACCCTGCTGTGACCCCCCTGGATACTTGTGCCTGTTTTGAAGATGTGCTTTATCCCTCCATATATATATATATTTTTTGGCCAATGCTGTTGCTCCTGCAAAAGTGCCTCTTTGTTGTGGGGAAAGGTGGCCTTACTCAACTCAGTGTGGGTGAGGTAATATTTTTTATTGGACCAACATCTGCTGGTGAGAGAGACAAGCTTTCGAGCTGCACCGAGCTCTTCTTCAGACATGAAAGCTTGAATCTCTCACCAACAGGAGCTGATCCAATGAAAGATATTAACTCACCTTCCTTGTCTCTCTAATATCCTGGGATTGAAATGGCAACACCTACACTGTAGAGACCTCAGTGAGCAATTGCCATTAGAATACAATAAAACAAAATGTGATGTAAGCAGATAGATTATAACAAAGTCACTGTTGATGCAATACACTCTTGTCAGATCAAAGTTGATGAGAGATGAGGAAAATATCAAAGCATATAGCAAACCTTTCAAAGAAAGGAAAATGCAGACAGTTATAAACTATGAATAGGTATACATTATGTAAATGTGACACATCAAACACTCATCTGGCAGTATGTATTGGTAATGAAAGGGAAATACGTGGTAAATTGTGAATCAAATCGATCACTTTTGCGTTGATGTGAAAAAAAAAGATGAACTAATTTTTGCTTTATTACTTGGAAGGAAGACTCCTAATTATAGCCTATCCTTCCAAAAAGCGCAATCAGAATGGTCTCTGCCTCCCTTCCGAATACAAAGAATTGGCTCAACCAATCAAAGAACCAAAATTTATACCATGTGACCTCTCACCAATTAATCTAACTAAAAATTTAAAAAAAATTAAGCAAATATTAGCTGCAAAATTTTCAGCAAAAATATGTCACAAAACTTCACTTTTTAAAAATGTGAAACATTTTGAAAAAATACCACAATTTTACAGAAGTTTTGCTATTGTGAAAACAGGCAAAATTCAGTGACAAATGTTTTGCAAATATTCTACTCAGCTATTTATTATGCAGTAACCACAGCATCCTGATATATCAGTTTTCAAAACATTACAAGTTAGTTCTATTGTGCAGGCTAACTGGTAGCAAGACACTACAGAAAATTCCCTTTTTCAAGATTGAACTTGTTAGGCCAAATAGTCTGCTGGTACAAATGGGTGAAAATCCAGTGGTGTCATTGGATATAAGTCCATTTACAGTAGCAGAATGTTTAGCCTGTTGAGTATGTATCGATGTTATGGCAGCTGAAAATTGGACCAGGACCTCTGTGGTCTGTAAGCAGCGTCTGTATCATGATCCAAAAGAGAACCTCTTGCTGGCCCAGTCAGAGAATCAGTGCTAAACTTGCTCAGCTGGAAACTTCTCTTTGCATATTTTTCAGTCCACATGAAAGAGCATCAACTCCTGTTGCTTTGCAGACTGATCATGCAGAATGCTTTGTATTGCAAATATTGGGTCTGATCCATCTTCCCTTTGAAGTCAAAATAAAAAAATCTCAAGCCTCTGAGGGTAGCAGCATCGGAATGATCATTAGTAACTTTCTCTTTTTGCAACATCCAATTTAAAGGCTGCAGTCATGGTAATTTTTATACATGTGCTTTCAAATTTTTACACCTTTTTATACTCATCCTTAGAGGCCTTAATACAATTTATTTGTAACTCACACAATGTAGCCTTCCTCATTTCAGAGTCCGAGATTTTGTCCTGTCCACATTATAGACTAACTCACTGTAAACATTTTATTGGTGAAAACTAATCTGTTTTTGGTCTAGCAAGGTAAAATAAAAGAATTGCAAAGCCTTGAGAATTTTTCCCCTCTTGCTACAGCTCTATAAATCAAAAATTGATTAAGTTGTTTCTTTACACGATGCTACTGGTACATTCTACTCAAGGAGGCAATGTGTTTTCCTTTTATGGCACTTTTCTATTTACTATGTGCCTTGCTTTCTTTATCTCTTAATTCCTTGGCTGTTTCATTTTTGGTTCTCTCTTTATTTTGCCATTCAGAAATGTTAATAGTGTCAGGAGACCCTCCAAAGGTTTGAGGTTCAATTCAATTTGGATTAGCACCCATAAGTTTGGATCATCTGAAGCTTATCCAAACCAAGTCTGTAATATATCGCTGGAAATATCATGAGAAAACGTGTTCCTGTGAGATTTCTAGCTAAATTTTGCAGACTCAAGAGGGTTTTGATAAGCTTTGGATAATCCTCTAGACTATTAGGTGTTTATCTGGACAGAACCCAAATTCTAAATCTTTGCAGTTTGTCCATTGCTTATTCTACCACTATAACCTAATGGGCTTTTTGACCACTCAAGCCACCTAGCTGAGAACCTTTTAGAATGTGAACAGTGCCATTCAACTATGAAATGCTAAAGGTCTCTGATGGTTAGTCAGTATTAGCTTTGGAGGGAAAATGGTCACAAACGACGGTCCTTTAACATCTAGGGCTCATCTACAGTTACAGTGCTGCAGCAGCACGGCTGTCTGCACTCCCGCAGTGCTCAGTGAAGACGCTACCTATGCTGATGGGAGAGCTTCTCTCATTGGCATAGTTAATCCACCGCCCCAAAAGATGGTAGCTATGTCGATGGGAGAAGCCTTCCCGTAGACACAGTACTGTCAACACTGTTGGAGGGGGGTGTCAAGTCGGTATAACTACATCACTCAGTGGGGTGGAAAATCCACATCCCTAAGCAATGTAGTTATACCAACATAAGTTGCTCGTGTAGACCAAGCCTTACTGAGAGTTTTGTTATAATTTCTTGTTTGTTTTTCTGCCATTGAATGAGCGGTTTCTGTTACGCCATTTGCTTGGTTTCATACATTCATTAACTATTTTTTGTGCTTAATTGTGTATTTTAATTCTTTCTTCTATATGTTACCTTTTAAAACACAATAACTTAAAGAAGCCTTTTATTGGATTTTGATCATGCCAGTGTCAAACTGGTATCATTTTTCATCAAAAAGGCCAACAAGGCTCAGAAATGATAATGATTGTTTGCGATAAGTAGATGCATGATGAGAAGTGCTTCTCCATCCCCAGGATGAGCATTCACTGGAATTCTTTTTGAAGGCCTTAGCACAGGTGCTAAGGACTGAACAGACATGCATGGAAAGTGACCTACCTGTTCACCCTAGAAGTAGTCCTTTGGATCAGTCTTGAGGCAAGCAGGTGGAAGGATGTGAGGGGAGCTTGAACTGCCACTGTTTACGTTGTCCCTGATCTGTGGATAAATGGAGAAATTCAGGAATGTTCATCTGTAATTTTACACAGCACTACATTGACTTTTAAGTTCATCTATGTATATGTTTAAAGTTTAAGGATATTCAGTATGAACTGTAATGGTTCTTAGCAAAATGGATCGCTAAATATACAGTGGCGTTGCATCTTATGCGGGGGTTAGGTTCTAAAGTCAGCGCGTAAGGCGAAAATTGCCTATAGTCAAAATTACGCTTGAAAATCCCTTAAATTGCTCATAAGGTACTGTATACTGTACATGGTTATGTATACAACCCTGTACAGTAATATGTATAAAGATGTAATGTATACACTAATGTACAGTATATAATAAAGAATACATATGCAAAATATAATTTTATAGTATTGTATTTTTAATTACACAGGGTAATTACAGGGGGTCGTCAGGGCTTGATGTCAATCCAGGAGACGGAGGTGACTGAGAGTTTGGGTGACAGAGAGTGAGTTGTAGACGAAGTGGTTGGCTCTGGTTCAGCTCGAGAAGTTGATTGCGTAGGCTCATCTGCTGCTGGTTGTTTTTCCTTGAAAAACATGGTGATCGGCAACTGTTGCTGTTGTCTCTTGAGCTGCTCAAACATTTCTTGATACGGTCTCAAATCGTCCGTAATAATACGTGTGATTTTCAGGCTTCGTTCCATAGAGGGATCGTATTCAGGAATTAAATCATTCAAGTGTTTTGCTGCTTGGAACACTTCAGCAAATTTATGAAGATTCCAACTTGCTGGCTCTTCTTGTTCGTCGTCATCGTCATCTGTCTTCTGTAGACGATTTTATCAGTTCCTCTAACTCTTCATTAGTCAGTGTTTCTCTGTGGCTCTCAATTAATTCTTCAATTTCTTCCTCAAGGATGTTGATGAAGCCATCACCACCCACTTGCGTGGCCACCTGAACAATGTGTTTCACTTCTTTGTCAATGGTCTGGAAACCCTTAAAATCATTCACACATTCTTTCCATAGGTTTCGCCAACATGCATTGACTGTTTCAGGCTTGATTGCATCCATTGCCTGTTTAATATAAGTGATGCAATCGGCAATGTTGAAGGACTTCCAACACTCCGTCACGTTAAGGTTGGGATCAGCATCCATAGTGCTACGTATCCAAGAGAACGTAAGCCTCGTGTACATGGCCTTAAAACAGCGAATCATTTCTTGGTCGAGAGGTTGGAGGATGGAGGTGGTATTGTGGGGGAGAAAGAAGACTTCAACATCGTTATGCGCAAGCCGGAGTGCTACGGTGTGGCCAGGAGCCTTGTCTACGATCAGCAACACTTTAAAGTCAAGCCCTTTCTCTTTGAGGTACCGCTTGACCTCCAGAACAGAATACTTGTGGAACCAATCCAGAAATAATGCTGCTGTCACCCAAGCCTTTTTATTTGATTGCCAGAACACAGGCAGGAGATTTTTGTTCTTGCCTTTTAGGGCATGGGGATTTGAAGCCCTGTAGAGCAAGCCTGGCTTTATGAAATGCCCAGCCGCATTACCACAAAACAACACAGTCACGCGGTCTTTAGCTGCTTGGAAGCCAGGGGCTTGTCTTTCTGATTTCGAAGTGTAAGTGTGGTTGGGCATTCTTTTCCAGAAGAGCCCAGTCTCGTCAGCATTAAAAACTTGTTCTGGAAGATGATAGCCCTTTTCTTCTATGATTTTCTTTAATTGTTCGGGGTAGGCTTTTGCTGCCTCTTCATTGGCAGATGCAGCTTCACCAGTAGTCTCGTGTTTTTGAGGTTGAAGCGGTTCCTAAAACTGTTAAGCCAAGTTTGGCTGGCTTTGAATTCCTTCTCATCAGAAGGCTGTCCCTCTTCGGCAGGAGGTTTGAACAGCGCATAGAGGCTAAGAGCCTTTTCTCGCAACGTGTTGCCATTGATAGGCACACGTTTACTGTTCATGTCTCCCAGCCATAAGTTTAATGCCTTTTCAGTCTTCACACACCTGACTTGTCACCTTAGCAGTTATTGGAGCACTTGATGCCACAGCTTGATGAATTTCTGTCTCCCGAATCTTGATGGCATGGATGCTAGATTTGTTGTGGCCATATTTACGTGCCATGTTGGAGACTGACATACCGTCTCTCAATAAGTCCAACAGAGCCAGCTTTTCCTCGTTGGAACAGATCATCTGGTGCTCAACCGAAGAAACAGCGAAGTAGTTGACTTGCCTATAGGGGCCATGTTGTAGGAAAAATATGTACAGTATCTTTAAACACTAGAATCACACTCAGTGCGGCGAGATGCTCACACTATGAGAGGCACACGGGAACTGAGACCGACTGAGGGAACAGCAGATTCACGTCTCCCATCCCACGCTCACTCCGGGGCATATGCTCATTGTGGATGGAATCGCCCGCACTATTTACAGGTATCTTGTTATTTTTCTTTTTTTTTTGCCGAGCGTGTACAGTTGAATTTGCGTAAGTTAAATGCACGTCTGATGCAACTCACCTGTAGCTTATAAGAAAGGATCATAGTACCCATTGGGAAAGATCAAAACAAGTGTCTAGACACTTCACTTTATTATGGTCACATAACTTAGATAATGGAAGCTAGAAGGAAAAATGGCAAACAGGGACAGAGAGATCAACCATTGATGGCAACATTGCGATTTCTTTTTCACTTATGTCCAACAGTGAAATAGGGAAGACGGATGTATAAAGCATGGGAGAGGCCAACATTAGACATGTCACCCAAAGCAACACAGTGAAAGTGAACAATAATAGCCAAGCACAGAAGACTGTTGTAGGGGCAACAAGAAATCAAACCGCTGAAGGGAATGTAAGTGTCACAGTCAAAACTAGATTCTGTAGCCGGTTTTGGCCGCGTGAAATGATCAAAAATCACTACAACGCAAAGCCAAATAAGGTTTATAATTTTAAAAGTCCACTCAGGAGGCTATTCAGAAGGTGCTACTCAGTACTAGTGAGGTGATTAAAAACTGGGCTACTCATACAGCAATGTACTACTCAGCAGGTACCTGTAGTTGAGTAACAGCGTAGAATCGTTTCAGAGTAGCATCCAGGTTAGTCTGTATCCGCAAAAAGAACAGGAGGACTTGTGGCACCTTAGAGACTAACTAATTTATTTGAGCATAAGCTTTCGTGAGCTACAGCCCACTTCATTGGACCTAAAAGTGGCAATTCTTCAACAAAAAAACTTCAAAAACAAACTACAACAAGAGACTGCTGAATTGGAATTAATTTGCAAACTGGATACAATTAACTTAGTCTTGAGTAAAGACTAGGAGTGGATGGGTCATTACACAAAGTAAACTATTTCCCCATGTTTATTCTCCCCCCCTCCCCTCACTGTTCCTCAGACGTTCTTGTCAGCTGCTGGAAATGGCCCACCTTGATTATCACTACAAAAGGTTTCTCCCCCCAACCCTTGCTGGTAATAGCTCACCTTACCTGATCACTCTCATTACAGTGTGTATGGTAACACCCATTGTTTCATGTTCTCTATGTATATAAATCTCCCCACTGTATTTTCCACTGCATGCATCCGATGAAGTGAGCTGTAGCTCACGAAAGCTTATGCTCAAATAAATTTGTTAGTCTCTAAGGTGCCACAAGTCCTCCTGTTCTTAGTGTAGAATCGGTCTCCAACAAAGTAAATATTGCCTCTCTCTCTGCTGCCTTCCTACATGGGTAGGGCTCCCCTACTGCCAGCAGTGCTTAATTTGTGCCATGGCCAAGCACCTGTAGGCTTGGAAATTCATAGCCCCAGCACCTCTGGGCTTGGCAGTTCATAGCCCCAGCACCTCTGGGCTTGCTGCATCAGTTATGACTGTAAAAAAATTGCTTGAGCCCTGGCATCTCTTTCATTACAAATTAAGCACTGTGCTTTACGTTTTGATTCAGCAAGGGAAGGACAGACCAGGGACATGGTCAAAGCAAGGTCTACTTTTCCTGATCTTTTGTGGGTGAAAGCTCCTGTACAGCAGTGGCAGATGTTGGAGTTGGCCCTTTGCTGGTCTAACTTCCACCAGGGCCGAGCAGCAAAGGATCAGGTAGCCACAGCAAGCCTCCTGGGGCCTCCACTGCCCATTATGTCTGAATGCAGCTTGGCTGTAGTGGAGAATCAGGGCCATGTTCTACCTGTCAATAAGTGGCTCTTCCCAAATACCCCCTGGTGACCTGAGGGAGACCCTGCAAGCAGCTCCTTGCCTCAGTTTCCCCCTTCAGTGAGTGGGGCTGTGACTGTGTACCAGGTTGCAATGTCAGGAGGAGGGAACTGGGAGCAGACCCGCAGGACAGGAGCTGCCACTGCAGGGTGAATACAGGGTGGATTTGCTTTCCAACACATTTCATTCCAGGGCCTCCCCTCTGTATTAGGTCAGGAGAAGTGTATATTTGCCTAGGGCCCCGTGACACACCCAGAACCTTCCTGTGACCCACTGGTGGATCATAGAATCATAGAATATCAGGGTTGGAAGGGACCTCAGGAGGTCATCTAGTCCAACCCCCTGCTCAAAAGCAGGACCCATCCCCAATTAAATCATCCCAGCCAGGGCTTTGTCAAGCCTGACCTTAAAAACTTCTAAGGAAGGAGATTCCACCACCTCCCTAGGCAACGCATTCCAGTGTTTCACCACCCTCCTAGTGAAAAAGTTTTTCCTAATTGTCATAAATATAAAGGGAAGGGTAAACCCCTTTGAAATCCCTCCTGGCCAGGGGAAAGCTCCTCTCACCTGTAAAGGGTTAAGAAGCTAAAGGTAACCTCGCTGGCACCTGACCAAAATGACCAATGAGGAGACAAGATACTTTCAAAAGCTGGGACGAGGGAGAGGAACAGAGGGTCTGGGTCTGTCTGTGTGCTGCTTCTTGCCAGGGACAGAACAGGAATGGAGTCTTAGAACTTTTAGTAAGTAATCTAGCTAGGTATGTGTTAGATTATGATTTCTTTAAATGGCTGAGAAAAGAATTGTGCTGAATAGAATAACTATTTCTGTCTGTGTATCTTTTTTGTAACT